AAACTCATCACCTCTTTCTTGGTATTCGGAGGAGGTAACTCTTGAATTGCCTTAATCTTGGAAGGGTCAAGCTCAATGCCCCTCCAACTGACTATAAATCCCTACAACTTGGCAGCTGGAACTCCAAAAGCATATTTGGCGGGATTTAACTTCAAATTATCGGCGTAGACGATCGAAGAATTTCGTCAAGTGATCCGAACTCTCGCGGGACTTGATTATGACATCATCTACATACACTCGATCTCATTGTGAATCATATCGTGAAAGATGGTCGTCATAGCCCTCATGTAAGTAGCACCAGCATTCTTGAGACCAAAAGGCATCACTTAATAGTGATATACACCCCAGGTCATGATGAAAGCTGTCTTTTCTGCATCTTCTTCATCTATCAGGATTTGGTGATAACCCGCATAACAATCCACAAACGACTGCATCTCATGCTTAACACAGTTATCAATGAGTATGTGGATGTTTGGCAATGGAAAATTATCTTTCGGGCTAGCTTTGTTGAGATCTCTATAGTCAACACAAATTCTAATTTTTTCGTCTTTCTTGGCAACCGGAACAACGTTAGCTAACCAAGTCGGATACTGCGTCACTTCCACTACTTGGGACTCAATTTGCTTTGTAATCTTCTCTTTGATCTTTAAACTCAACTCAGGCTTGAACTTCCGAGTCTTTTGTTTTACTGGACTGAAATCTGGATTGATCGGCTACTTGTGGGACACCATATTCGTACTCATCCCTGGCATATCTCTGTAAGACCAGGAAAATAGTTCAATGTATTCTCTAAGCAAATGAACTAGGTCCCTTTTATGAGTTTCAGTCAAATGGACACTAATTCTGACTTCTCTGACACACTCCTCATCTCCGAGATTCACAGTCTCGATTTCTCCCAAATTCGGCTTGTGTTGAATCTCAAATTGTCGAAATTCTTTGGCAACATGTTCGGGTACCTCATTTTCTTCTCTGTATCCCTCACATTCATCATCACCTACCTCATTTTGTTCACCCGGTTCATGACATGACATGACATTGACAGGTTTTAAATTATTATTACTGAAATCATAAACAGACAAAGTTAGAAAAGTAAAATATGAACAGATAAATAAACAATTTTTTGATAATAGAGGCTCTCATTTAAATTGAAAAAAACAAGCACAAACTTTAGCCATGGCCGAGGGCCATTTTGCTTTTTTAAACATCACAAGGGAATTTAAAAAAACTTCAAACAAATAAAACTGCGTAAATGGTGGGTCTCGGGCCTCTTTCGGACTACCATCGATTTTAAAATAAATAAAGACACATGTCTTTTCTACCCAGATGAGCGGGAAATCAGGAGTGGTGTGGAGGTCCAGTTCTGCAATTGCTCATCAGGTTCTGCATCACGGATGCCTGATGTCCCAACCTCTTCCCTCGAATGACCGCATCAATCTCCTCAAAAAGGCCCCAAATTCCCTTCCCCGAGACCACCATCGTTGACATTTCCTCGTACCGGAAATGACTGGTACAGATGAGGAATTGACCTGGCCAATTCTTGATCAACATTCTTGTTCTTCATCTCAGCTTTGTCACCTGTTGGGACATATCCCAAACCAAACTTTGCTCCTTTGGCGGGAACTTGAATAGGCCCGACAATTCCTTGGAAATGCTTCCCCAACCCGAAACCTGGTTCGAAACCATTCTGGAGCATGACGGTATCAATCATCTTGTACACGGCAGACATAAGAGGTTGTGGAGCCAAGTCATCACCGATGGCATTTACCAGCTCCACCGTGTAAAAATCGCAACTTCGAGAGACATCATCAACGATCGGTGCATACCCATTGGAATGGTTCCTTTCACCATAAATGACAAATTCCTGGTCCTTCCAAACAAACTTCATTAGTTGGTGAAGGGTAGACGGCACATCCCCAGCCATGTGGATAAACGGTCTTCCTATAAGCAAATTGTAACTGGTGTTGATATCCAACATCTGGAACTCCACGTTAAATTCTACAGGACCCACATAAATATCCAAGTTTACCGCACATATCGTGTCTCTCTTCACTCCATCGAAAGCTTTTACATTGACTTAGTTTTGTTGAACCTTTCCCAAGTCAAATTTCAGCTGCTTGAGAGTCGAAAGTGGGCAAATGTTGAGACCGGACCCATCGTCGACCAAAACACGATTTATAACTTTTTCCCGGCATTTGATGGTGACGTTCAAAGCTTTGTTGTGCATCCTCCCTTCAAAGGGCAACTCCTCGTTTCAAAAACTGATTCGGTGTCCTCGGATGACCTCGTTTATCATGGCAGCTAAATTGTCACTATTAGTACCCACAGACATATAAGTATCATCCAAAGCCCTCATCAAAGCTTGCCTATGCAATTACGAACTCATCAATAAGGCCCACACAGAGATCTGAGCCGGCGTTTTCTCCAAATGCTTCACAATTGAATAATCTTTCGGTTGCATTTTTCTCTAAAATTCCTCGGCCTCGGCTTCACTAATCGGCTTTTTTGTTTGGTCCTTCTTCTGTACACCCTGGACCAACTCTTTTAGTGTGTAACATCTACTAGATCTGGTCATACCTTGGAGGAACAACTGTTTCGATCATAAACTTTGGTCGGGCAAGAGTTTCTCGTGGCACCAAGGCAATAGCCTTCTCGGGTGTCAGAATCACAAACTCATTTTTCTCTCTAATGCTCAACGAAGCTACAGTCCTTTCTAGTTAATCAGGAGCAATCAGAACTATTGCCTTTGTCACGCACTAATAATCATCTGTCTCTATCATATTGATAGTGACGCCTCCATGATTTGGCAAAGGATTACTATTGAAATTGGGCGCGACTGTCTGAAGAGAGACCACATTTTGGTCAATCAGGTCTTGGATCTTATGCTTCAGGTTGATACAGTCTTCGGTATCATGCCCAACACTGTTGGAGTGATACGCGCACCTCTGATCAGGTTTGTAAAACTTTGAGCTAGTGTCAACTGGCTTGGGTCCCACTGGATGAATATATCCTGCCGCAGTTAATCGCTCGAACAGCTTTGTTCGGCTTTCAATAAGCGGAGTGAAAATTCTAGCAGGATTATTCTCAAATCTAGGACGGGAGGGATCGTAATTGCCTTGTTGAGGGGGAGGCATTTGGCGATAATTTGGAGCATTCGGACGGGGGGCTTGATAGGTTTGATAATTTGGTTGTGGAGCTTGGTAGTTCGGGGGGGTATTTTGGTAAAATGGAGCTGGAGTTTGGTACATTGTGGGAGGCGTTTGGTAATTTGTCTGAACGTTGGCACAGTTGGGGGCGACATTTCGGTAGTGATGAGATAGAGTCTGGTAAACTGGAGGGGGAGTTTGGTAGATAGGAGGGGATTATTTTGATAACTGGGGAGGATTGGTATTTTGATAACTGGGGTGAGAGGTATTTTGGTAATTGGGGGGAGGGGTATTTTGGTAATCAGTCTGTGCATAACAAGCCGGGTACGAACTCTGTGAAAGTCGAGAATGACCTTGGTATGATGAGGATTTCCTTGGGGTCTTCTTCCCCTTATAAGAGATAGAGGACACATCCTCTCTTTTCTTCTTCAACAAGCCTGAAGATCCAGGCGAGACAGCAACACGGGCGATCTTCCCGGTTCTTAATCCATCTTCGATAGTCTCACCTACCTTGACTATCTCGGCAAATTTTGCTCCAACGAGCAACATGATTTTGTCATAATATTCGGGATCTTGCACCCGCAGAAACACTTCGACAATTTCCTTTTCTGACATAGGAGGTCTAACTCTAGCTGCCTCATTTCGCCATCTATATGCGAATTCTCTGTAACATTCGGTCGACTTCTGCTTCATCTTCTCCAAGGAGTAACGATCAGGAACGATCTCCACATTGTAGGCGAATCGTTCGATGAAGTCCTTAGCCAGAGCATTCCAGCTAGACCACTGTCTTGTTTCATGAGACGTAAACCATTCTAGTGCCTCTCCGTTTAGACTTCGGCTAAAAAGCCACATTAATAAAGCTTCGTTTCTCCCAACTCCCACGAGTTGGTCACAGTAGGCCCTCAGGTGTGCTAAGGGGTTCCCCGTTCCTTCGAAGATGTCGAATTTTGGCACATTGAACTCTTTCGGGAGGTCCAAATTCGGATGAATGCACAGGTCTTCGTAACTCAACCCGGCGACCTCAGGAATGCAGTTCAACTTCTTCATGGATTTTCTAATTTCCTCATTCATATCTATCTTAGCGGTCTCTTCCTTTGACCTCCACTCTCTCTCCCTCTCCTCATAGTGGTCGAGTTCCGAACCATGGGCGTCATGCTCGTTGGGGACCAATATTTAGAAGGTCGCTTTTTGCGATAGTGGTATTTGGAAAGTGGCTTTTTGGTGGTTTTTATTGGGGGGAGGGAGTGGTGCTTAGAGGTTGGTATTTTGAGGAGGGGGTGGTGTCTGATAAGAAGCTGAGGCGTAATGGGGGTTTTGGGTGGTAAGGTCAATGATAAAGGGATTACGAGCAGGACTTGAAGGTGAGTTTTGAGCTTGTTCCA